TATGTTTTTGTTTTTTTTTTTTTTTTTTTTTTTTTTTTAATTCTTAACTTCAGTACTTGTTAATGACACATTTACAAATCCCACCCCCTTCTGAGCCCCACGCATCGGGACCTCTCATAACGGATGCAACCTGATGGGCTCTGTTACTCCCTTTCGCCTTCTCCTCATCTGACTTTCCCTTCTGGCGGGATCCTGGGGTTCTACTTGTCCTCCCACCTCCTCAGGATTATATGGGGGGGTAGACATTCGAGGGCGTGTCCCAGGCTGGTTCTTTCTTCTTTTCCTTGTCCTTCCACACCCCTTCTTTAAAGATCCCTATTTCCCTTTCCAACATGCTGCATATTCGCTTTCTTCCTGACTAAATGGTTTCTTGGAATTTACATATAAATTTAACACTTGGCATATCCAGCCTTCATGCGACCCGAATTTAGGCCAGTATAATTTGTCTGGCCTTATGGGTTCCTTGGTCCATTCAAACATACAATAGTTCATCATTTTCGCCTTATCCTTATCCCAGGTGCAGGATTCCCCCTCCTGCCCCAATATAATGACATCCTCCCTAATGGACTGTCTGGAGGTGTTTCTGGAATTTCCTATTTGGCTTTTCCCCTCACTTCCTTTCTCTTCCTTAATTTGTCTGGCCTTATGGGTTCCTTGGTCCATTCAAACATACAATAGTTCATCATTTTCGCCTTATCCTTATCCCAGGTGCAGGATTCCCCCTCCTGCCCCAATATAATGACATCCTCCCTAATGGACTGTCTGGAGGTGTTTCTGGAATTTCCTATTTGGCTTGTCCCTTATCTCCTTTCCTACTCTTCCCTTCCTTGTCCCATTTTCCCCAGGGGGTATCTTTCACTTCAGCCTCTTGCTTTGCCTCTTCACCGTCTGGTCTCCTGGCGGAGACACGGAACCGCGGTTAGAAAGACTCCACACTCACTTCGTGGATCAATTCCACGTCTCACACGCACCACTTCCAGTCCACCCCCCGCCATCACCCAGCCGCCCAAGCAATACTTAACAGTCACTTTTCTTACCCGGGTCCTGTGCACAAGTGTTATCGGCTGCCGCGGTTATCCCTGGGACCCCCTGGAACTCCTCTTTGGTCCTCGAGTCCCTCTGCCAGGTTGTTGCCGCTAGCTTGTTGCCAAGGAGGGGGGAGAATCCAAGGATTGCTGAAATCAGCAGTGGTGCGCCATCTCGGCTTACTCACCCATCCAAGGCTCCGGGCATAGGCTTCAAATATCCCGGAAGAGCCCCCACATTGTGAGGAACAAGCTCACTTCTTCAATTTTAGCCAGGGACAAAGTCTGTGGAGCAAAGAATATTTTATTTACAGCGCTGGGAGCTTCACAGGGGATTCCTCCTCTGTGGCTCAACTCTGGCTCTCCAAAGGCTCGTTTTTATGTCCCATATTGTTACATATTCATAGTTTTTCCAAGGATAGGCAGCCTGTATTACAATTAGTCCCAGACACTCATTATCTTAAGTCTCTTCACTTCAGCACCTGCGTGTTGCTTTCTGGTGGTCCTGGGCTGGGGTCTCTGAGGTGAAGTAAGAAGTCTTCCTCACGATGCTCTCGTCACCTCTGGCCCAATTAGTTGCTTCTGCAACTGCAAGACCAGCTGAAACTGGCCCTAGCAATGGCTTCCTTCTGTTGCTTTAGCAAGTGTTATGCTTATCTTACACTCAGGATAAGCTAGACTAGATTACCAGAAACTGCTTTCCAAAGCTAGGCTGCTGGTTTGCTTACATATCCATATAAACCACTGTAACCTAGTGCACATTAATATTGCCAAACTTATGAACATTAAACAAATAATTGTGTTAGCTGAAGCAAAATTTCCCCATTCAGTTATTTATCACACTGTATATAGGCATAGTCATGGACGAAACTTCCAAAACTCTCCAGATAAGGCAGTCACGAAACAGGAGGACCAGCTGCCTTCTTTTCAATTGATGTGGGCCTTCCTCCCATTGATAGGTTAGTGGTTGCAAGAGAAAACAGCTGAAAGGAGCCTCTGAGGGTAGTAAATTAGCCCATATGAGAATATGTAGTTAATTGACAAGGCTAAACAAGTATTCCGGTGTCCTGAAGTATTGGGTTTACATAAAAGGGTAAAATGAGTGGGGGTATTTCTCCCCAGATGACCCCCAGAGACACCTGAGCTACCCACAGTACCATATGCAGTGAGTAATGAGAGCTAAGTGGGCCTCTGCTCTGCTTGGACCCCACTTGGAACACTGTGTGCAGTTCTGATGTCCTCAACATAAGAAGGACATGGAGCTGTGGGAGCAAGCCCAGAGGAGGCTACGGAGATGCTGCAAGGGCTGGAGCAGCTCTGCTTTAGAGACAGGCTGGGACAGCTGGGCTGGTTCAGCCTGGAGAAGAGAAGGCTCCGGGATACCTTAGAGCAGCTCCCAGTGCCTAAAGGGGCTACAAGAAATCTGGAGAGGGGCTTTGGACATGGGCCTGTAGGGACAGGATGAGGGGGAATGGCTTTAACCTGACAGAGAGGAGGTTGAGGTGAGATCTTGGGAAGAAGCTCTTCCCTGTGAGGGTGCTGAGGCCCTGGCACAGGTTGCCCAGAGAAGCTGTGGCTGCCCCATCCCTGGCAGTGTTCAAGGCCAGCTTGGACAGGGCTTGGAGCAGCCTGCTCTAGTGGAAGGTGTCCCTGACCATGGCAGGGAGTTGAAACTGGATGAGCTTAAGGTCCCTCCCAACCCAAATCACGTGATTCTATGTATATAATAATGGTACTTGAGCTTTAAACTGTCTCATCTCAGTGTGCATGATAGGCAGAGCAATCCCCTATGCACCCAGTACCATAAAAATGTTGGCTTTCTAACCTGTCATTCTGATTACAAAGTTTACTTCCTGGATTTCAGTGGCACCATGAGTGATACTGACAGGTCAAGAACACAAGGGAAGCTCCCAGCGCAAGCCAGAATGTCACTTCCTGGAGCACCCCTCCTGAGAGACTAGGAAGAGACGTGCAGGAGCTGCTCTGGAAAGAAAGTCAATCTCATTTTGCTTGACATGGAGGTGCTTGACATTGTCTGTGTGGACACGATGCCCACCTGGGCACAGGTACCTTCACCTTGCTGCTCTCCCTCTCCCCTGAGATTCCCAAGCGGACACATTGAACCATTCCCACTCAGCAATGGCTTTTGCTAACAGCTGGTTTATTAGAGCTGCAAAGCAGGAGGTGGCACACGTGAACAAGGAGCAGGCAGCCCCACAGCACAAGCGCTAGTTCTTGCTGCAGGGGAGGCTGGTGCTGATTTTCCTGCAGTAGCAGAAGGCATTGAAGAAGCGGCAGTAGCAGGTAGCACAAGGGTCGCAGCAGGGGACCTGTTGGCCCAGGCACGACTCCAGGAGCCGGACGCAGCGGCGGGGGGGGACTTCCTCTTCTGTGGACAATGCCTGCTGGAGGGAGGAGAAAAGAGTTGGTGCTGGACCACTGTGTGGGAGAGAGCCAAGAGTGGCTGCTGAAACCCACCACTGCCAGCAGCCCAGTTCCGTCATGCTCAGTTCTGGACTGGGTCTGGTGAGAAACACCACTGAGCCTTGGGGGCTCTCAGGCCTCGCCCATCGTGTCTCAAGACCTTTATGCACACATTTAAGCTGAAGTACAGCCTCAACTTCAGTGAAGGGTGGCACCAAATAGAGGCACCAGTGTCTGAGCCAGGTGCTGCGTGGTTCACTCCTGCTCTGCAGAGTATGCACTTGAGGTTAATTAAACAGATTGCAGGGGTGCAGGTTTGGAGCACCCTCCTTTGCGTGCCGGAGCCCCTCGCAGCTCTGGGCAGCCCTAACTGCTCCCCAGCAGGCAATGAACAGATATGTCTTTCCCAGGCAGCACCACACTGGCCCCAGGGGCACCAAGAAGGCTGCCCTGCTCCTTGGGGTGTCTGTAAGAAAGCTCAGAGAGCGTTACCTGCTGTTCTAGGATGCCGTCTCTCTGCATGATGTCGCCTTTGGCTTCTTGGACCTTCAGGGTCATCTGCTCGAGCCCCAGCCTGGGGAGAGCTCCTGCAAGATACAGAGAGGCTCGACAGGAAGGGGATGAGAGCCACTGCTATATAGTGGAGGCTATATAGCTGCTTTCACCAG